ACAATCACAGTAATTTGGTGGCCTACAAACTGTTTCTCCTCAAGGGTTAAAAATCACTTTGAAATTACATTTAGCAGTGCGGTTGTGTTGGGGCTGTGTTTTTAGGGGTATGGTGGGGTTGTCTACATCTTTAGATTGAGCCCTGGCAAACTCTATGCACAGCACACCAAGCACCACTGAAGTCAATTCCTCAGAAGGAAGAAAGCCATATGCACCCAGGAGGACTGGCCTATCTCTGTCCATTCCTGGACATGGTGAGACTCCAGCAAACAAATTCCTACCAGCTAATAAACAGCTGCAGAGGCCAAGCTTCAACTTTCAGAATAATACTCGTGTTTCTCCATAATCTTTGAGTCATTTAATAATAGCAGGAGATACCAAAAGCTACCATCCATGAGTGACTGCCTCTGCCAATTAAGAGCTGGAGGTGGCTTTGGTAGAGATGCTAATCAGAAGCAATAATCATGAAAATGACATGGGAAACATCCATATATCATAATCCCAGAATCTTCGGGTTCATCAAGGACTGCAGTTATACAGGACTCTCTGCTCTGGGGTGAAATATATCTTCCTAACAGCAAAATTCTCACAAAGTAGATACTGTGCTAGTCCCCTCAGAGACAGGACTGCCCTCCAGGAGAAGAGGACACATACCACACAAACAAACCAGGGGCTGCAGGGAGGCACAAAGCTCTGCTGATAAAAGGAGGAGAGCTGGTGCCAAAAGGTAGCGCTGCAGGTTGGGACAGCCCCGGACCACAGGATCACAGGGTAGGATGGAAGACGATCAGGGAGCTTTATGATAGATACTAAGGTGCTAACCAACAAAGTTCTAGTATGGGAGGGACCTCTGATGTTGTTGCTAAGCACCACTGTGCTGACCACCACTCACAGTGACCCTGTGAACAACACATCTGAACTCGGTCCTTTCTGGTGCTATTGCCACGATCTGCCATGCTTGAGCCCACTGTTGTTCTCACTGTACCAATTCATCTCTTGAAGGTCTTCTCTTACCCTGTACCTTTCCCCAGCATGATGTATTTTTCTAAGGACTGGTCCTTCCTGACAACATACTCAAGTTTCATCATCCTTGCCTCTAAGGAGCACCCTGGTTGCACTTCCTCTAAGACAGATTCATTAATACTTTCAACAGCTCACAGTCTTTCAAGCCACTTTAGCAATACTACAGTTCAAAGGTGTTGGAGCATATTGGTCAGCAGCACCTGGGAGGAAGAAATGGTTAAAACTCTTAGCCAGTAACTAAAAGCTTGGCGGTCTGAGTCTATCTGAAAGCACCTGGGAAGGAAGGCATGGCAATAGACTTGTCAAAATCAGGCAGTGAAAATCTCACAGAGCACGGGTCTATCCTGACGTGCACAGTGGTGGAACAAATCAGAGACAGCTCAACAGTTGCTGGGTATTGGTCAGCATACTGGCCAGTGTTGGGAGAACTGCTGAGGTCAAGGTGAAGAAGCAAGGAAGGGCTATGAGGTGGACTAGAGAGGATGCAGTATCACCAAGGAGGCAGAGGACAGAGCTGAGGGGAGATTTCAGAAACATTCAGGATAAGGACTCAATGCCCAGTTGAAGGAGAGTCCAAATGCCACCTCATGCCCTGACAAAGAAGCTAATGAGACAGGTATATTCCCCACTGAGAGAGGAACGTCAGAGAGTCAAAAAGATAGAGGTGAGGAGTAAGGGAAGGTCACCACATCCAAAGGTGCCACAGATGTGAGCAGCCACTTGTAAGCTGGCTGCAGGTGGGACAATGTGCAGATGAGAGTTTGGGCAAACAAAACAGTGACACAGAGAAAGCAGGCAGAAACTCTGGCAACCACCTACTACTAAAGACTGAACAAGGGCAAAGAGTGGGAAAGCACGAGAGGCCAGGGCAGAGCCATCAGCCCCGTCCATGTCAAAAACAACAGAATGGGAAATGGCACAGCTTTCTCAATCAGACCTGTTGCACGAACAGCCTAAGTCTGAATAAAATATCTCCTGAAATTGCAAGAAAGAAATATGAAAGTGTGCAGAGAACCCATGAAGTGGTAATTTCCTTAATGCAGCTGTCTATTAAGCTACCTGCCACTGCAGAGTCACATTAAATAAAAGTAGGGATTTAAAAGGAGCATGTCAGGTAAGAACTGTGTATCAGTACTACCTAATTGAGTGTTTCTCCAATATGTCAAAGATTGCACACATACCCTTGACTTGAGTGTCTCGCTAGCTATTCTCCCTCCTTCCACAGCCAGGCTGAAGAGCATCTGCAGAAGATTCTTTTGTGCTTAATCTTTTCTATCACTACCTCAACACTTATGCTGAACTCAAGGTAGACATTCTGACCAGTTTCCATGCCTCCATCCAGCCTGGATGTGTAAGACTATCACCCTGTAGTGGTTCCCCAGATAAAAGAACTCACTCACCGCGCTCTCCAACAAAAATATAATGCAAGGCACATGTGTAATTTAAACTTTTCTAGAAGCCATATTTTTTAAAAATCAAGTAAAATTCAAATTTCATACAAATTTTACTTAATTTATCAAACTGTCATCATTTCAACATTCAATCAGTATGAAAGTATTAATGAGACTTTTTTTATTCTTTCATCTATAAAAAGCCTTTGGAATCCAGGGTTCAAACTGGCTATATGTCAATGCTCAAAAATCACATGTGGCTAGCGGGCATCACAGTGGACAGTAGAAGTCGAAAGAGATCTCTGCAAAGTGTAGGAATTCAAGTCCAATCCAAAAACTGCTAAGCAAATGGCCATATCTGTGTTTCAGGTACGGTCAAGGGAAGATTTCTCTGAATGCTGTTACAAGTTAGCCATACTGGGAACACCGTATCATGACACCCCAAAAATCCTAGTGGGACTGAGACCACTGATGAAGGAGAAGACTTCCTGGGGTGGTCCTGGAAAAAAAAAAAGGAGCCAGCCTACAGACAGGACACTCTGCTGTCCATTGGGACAGCACCATTAACCCAAACTTCAAATGCACCAGTGTCTCCTCGATAGAAATACAGGCAATTTCCTCCCATGTTTTCCACAGCCTCTTAAAAACTGCTGGAGTGTCAGCTCTGACTCCACAGCAATGAGTGAGAGAACAAACCTAGAGGCATGCTAGCATCAGCTGCACTTAAGCCAAATCTCTAATGTCAAAGTACTTTTTCATAGTCCGTTTCCTCGTTTTTATTTTCCAACAAACATTATCAATAAATAAGCATCAATTCCATTATTCAGATGAAAAATTGAGGAGCAGGTGATTTAAATTACTTGTTCATTTCTAGTCTTGGCTACCTGACCTCAACTCAAAGACCATTCAAGCTTCTCTAATAAGCAGGAAGTCATCTAAAAAAGGTGGAAAATCCAGTGTGGCCTGAGCAAGTGTCTATGGAATCAAGTGCGCCCTCTTGATGTTCTAATAGCACTCCACTTTTATGCAGGACTTGTACGTTTTCAAACACACACACACCCACACACCCACCCCAGATCACACCATGGAGTATCACTGGGCTTCGCTCAGAACAACTGGAAACCCCACGCACAGTGCAGGTGTGCCCAGTCACCCAGTCCTCTGACCCCCACACCTAGCACTTCTCTAGACCATCCCATCTCCCTTGATGGCTGGACTTTTTTTCCTTTCAAAGTAAAAAAAATAATAATAATTTCATTTCAAGATTATTTTATTTTTTCAAACAGTGGGTAAACCTTTAAGTAACCACAAAACTGACTCTGGAACTATCCCTTTGTCCACCTCTAGCCAAGAGTGACTTTAAGAAACAGCTTCATTGCATTTACATCAACCAGAGGCTAGTTTACCAACTGGACAACAGATACAGAGGGAAGACTGGCATGAAAGGAGACCCCTTCTCCCTTGGTCAGCACTGGAAGGCTGGAAATGAAAGCAGTGGTGGCCTGTGGCTTTGGCTCACCAAAAGTTTACCTTACACACTTCATGGGGTAAGCAGGCCTATCAGTTTAGGATTTATTGATTCTCCACAACTGGTCAGAGCACATGGGCTCCTTCAGTCTTGAATCAGCCATGAAATAATACCTATTTGTAGCCAGTACTTCCAACTTAGAGCCCAGGAGAGTGTTCTGGCCAAGACATCTCAACTTCTGGCTAAAAGCAATAAGGCCAAAGGCCCCATCTTGCATTTTAATACCAAAAACTTGCTCTCAAGGTATTCATCACAGGAAAGCAAGTTCAGTTACACTGATGGTAAAATAAACATATTCACTTTTAGATAAGGAAAAACTTTACCTCCACCAAGAGTGGAGAGCACTGTGCACCTTTTTCTTTCAGAGGAATGAATGTGTAAGATTGGTGAAAACCTTTTCTCTACACCTGCAAGGTAACAGTATGGTATTTTACACAGCCATATGAAGACTCAGCTTGAAGCAGGCATTGAGGAGCCTAGAGGCCGGCCCGGGCTCACCCACATGGCTAGTGCTCTAGGAAAAGCAGGATGCCATGAAAGCCCAATATCATCATTAAAAGCCAAGGGCAGGATGGAAACCACCATTTTTAGAGGATATGAATCTGTTTCTATTTAAACATATTCAAAGTACCCCAATGCTGAGGAAGTCTGGCAGTACCAAAAAATATCCTCTCAGCAAAAAATGGATGAGATGCTCCCTAAGCAGGTCACGGCTGCTAAGGCTCGGGGAATTCCAAGATCACCAGGCCGCCTTCCTCACCACCTTCCTCATCAGGGATTCAAACCTGAAGATGTAGGAGTTTCTAGCCCAGAAAAACAGAGATATTCCTAAAATATAATAATAATGCCTTGGCAGCAAACATGTGGCCTTCATCCATGCCACCTCCTGGCATTCCATGAGTTCTTGAGCACAACAGAAAGCTACAGCATACATGCAGATCAGCCTCGCATGGCTGGGGTGCCAGATCCCAGGCTGTATAGCCCATACCCCACAAGGGGAGGAAATGCATTTAGAAGAGTAGGGCAAAGAGAAGGGGAGAAAGGAAGCAGAGCCTTACTTTTCTGACAGCGATTAGTAGTCCAGCAGCGATAGTTGTACTCATTGTTGATGGTGGTCTTCTCACACAATGGCTTCTCCTCCATCGTCCCTGGACACAGGTCACCACACTCCTTCAGAGGCTTGTTGCCCACAATGTAGTTATTGGATACAGCATCCAGGATCAAGGACCAGTCCACAGTGGACAGGTAACAGAGGTCAGCATTTTTCTCAATTCGGATGGCCCCCCGTGTGATGTTCCTTAGGTTGTAAAGTCCAATATCCTTGAGGTTGGTCATCTCGAAAATGACCAGGGCATAGTTGTAGAAGAGCTTCCAGCCTCGGATGACTGTGAGGTTCGGGAACAGATCACCGAGGCTCTCGAGGCCAGCCACGCGGAAGAGCAGCAAGTACTCAGTGATGACAGTGAGCTTGGGGAAGCGGTAGCTGCGGTAGTCCTCGGCCTTGGAGATGAGCAGAATGTGTAGGTAGCCCTCAATCACCGTGCAGTTCTCCAGGCGTTTCAGCTGCTGGAAGTCATTCCGGATATCGATGCCTGGCCCACAGACTAAGGAGACAGGACAGAAAGACAGGACAGAGGTCAGTTACTAGGAAATCACTGGCAGAATGATTTTCATGCCCATAGAAATGCCAATTTCCAAGTGCCTTTTGTTATTATTACTCCACACCCCAGCCATTAGTGTGTCATTCTGTGGTAGCTATGTATTGCTGGGGTGCTGTAAGCTATGACATCAATATTTCAAACACTAGCAGGGTTATCAGTGGACCAGTTTTAGCAGGACTTCTCAATAAAGTCACATGACACAGACTTTTTTCCCCCTAAAATATAAACCCTATGGATCACAACAAAACAGTGTCTGACGGAGATAAGCCCCTCAAAATCCAGCGGCCCAACAATGCTCATGAGCACACCCATGAGCACAGCTAGTAAGAGTTCGGCTCTGTTGTACTGGAGCTGCCGTTAGCCGAAACTAATCCCACAACACCTAATGACAACAATAATAACGTTTTAAAAAATAAAAAGTAATTTGTCACTGAAGTCCTACTCTTGATGTAGGCTGCAGGCTATCAGCCGTCCTGTTAGCTGCCACTTGTGAAGGATAACACTCTCACTGGTGATGGGAAAGGATATTTCCAGTCTATTAATGTGGAGCCCAGGTTGCACACAGGCATGAGAGGTCAATGGGAGCACCCAGGTATGCCTGACACCCACAGCTACCAAGCTTCACCTCACATCGCCTCTGAAATGCACCTGTCCTCGGTGCCTGGACACAACTCTACAGACAAGTAGCTAGAACCTAAGATTCAACCACTATGAAGGACACCAAGCAATCCAGGCTACACTGGAGGCCAGTCATCAGGACCAGAAAAGTAGGCAGGCAAAGGAACACAGTCCATGCTTTCTAGTAACATATGACATGGACCACGGTGCCTGGAGTTCTCGCCAACTCTGCATTAAAGCCTAATTTAACAGTAAATAGAGAGGCTAATTTGGCATGATTTACTTGATTAAATCTACCCACCACTATCAAGTTGAGAATCTGACTCATGGTGACTTATAACGAGATTTCCCAGATTATAAATCTTTATAGGAGGGAACTACCCATCTTCCTCCCACAGAGCCCAAAGCAGACAACAATTCTATCTCTGGAGTCATTTGGGACATACTGATCCCGTAAAATTGTACCCAAAACTCTATTACCTAAAAAATCTTTTTCCTGAATTTCAGTATGCCTTCTAATACAATTAACCAAAAACTCAAAGTAGAAAATAAATTGGTCACAAAAGGGTTAAAGTAAATAAAACCTAACAATTATGTTATCAAACATATTTTCATTTAGCAAGAACAGCTTACTGAGTCAATAAATGTTCTATATTATCTTAAGAAGGGAATAATAGTTTTAGAATATAGATATGAAAAGTAAAAGGTTTTTTTAACTTTTTCCCTATTACAGAACATTTAGATTATCTTCCTATTTTAACACGATAAATACATAATGGCTGTAACAAGTTAACTGTTCAAAATGGCTTTTATAATCCATTGTCTTTGACTTTCACCACACAGTTGGGTGGGACATGCATGTAAGATGTACTGTCTATCCATGTGGAGAATGGCCAGTTTTGATGTTCTTTCAGGTTTACATTGTGCAGGTTCAGCAGTGGAAATGAGAACTCTCATTACCAGTGAGAAAGCATCCTTCCATCAGGTCCAGAGATTCCTGTGCAAGTCAGACTAGGATCTACATGAGAGCAGCGGCAGAGAACCAAAGACCGACATGAGACAGAGTTGACCTGGGACTGCTGTCCCACAGAGCCAGTACCAGGGGCTTCACCCAAGCTTGCTGGAGTAGTAGGGGAGATGCCATAATTGGTAGGATTATATAAGGATTACAGAAAAGAGCTCGGTAATACTGACCTAAAGCTGCATCGCTGAAGGGCATGTGAGCATGCTTGAGATTTCCTGACTGAGAAACTGTATCTTATTACCAATCTGAATGATAACTTGTTAACTTTCCGAATAAATTCCATACTCTGAGACAGCTGTGTGGCCTTTGCAATGAATTTTGGACACAGCAGGAGAGCCCTGGGTTGGTGCTAAAATTAGGAGAAGTGTGTGTGGGAGCAGAGAGGCCATGTCTGACCTCATGGAAATGGGTTTTACGATAGGGACAGTTCCCCCTTGGGGAGTCGGTGAAGGTAAGTCTTGGTCCTCCCCACACTGCTCTCAATCTTTTTACAGTATGTTCCAGCTCTTATTCTTAGCAGATGTGAAAAACTATTGCCCCCTATAATTCTTCAAATACTGAATTGTTGGGCCAATACATTTGCAGATTGTAAAGAATTCTCATAAAACAGCCATAATACTAGCATACTTTGCTTATTTCTTAAATCCCAGATACATAATCTCCATATTCAGTATTAGATATTCTTAGACACAGTGAGGTTTTCTAACTGATATCAATTATTAACTTGTCAAGAACCCAATACATGTGATAAGCAATGCAAAGAAGCAGGAACCTACACTCTATGGAACCTGCTGGTGAGGGCCAGGAGGTAAGAACAGGTATCAGGTGAGAAATAGTCAGTGCCATAACTATGTTACAGTGATACTGCACCAACTAACCACCAGCAAGTTCACCCTAGGTGTGTGCTTGAACTGAGCTAGACAAATAAGCGCTCACTGCAAGAGGATGGTCCTTTCTGTTGCAGCTGCATAGGTAGTGTTGCATATGAGCTGGCTCTTAAGGGATGCATCAAGTTACAAATTGAGTAGACCATTCCAGATGACAGAGAAAAGGCAGAAAAAGAATATAAAAATAAAAGCAAATGGATGGTTCAGGGACCTAGAGAAGAGTAGAATAAAGGCAAAATTCTAGTGGATCATGCATGTCAGCTCTGGAATAAAAGTTTTATTTTGTAATGATGCCCCACTGAAGGCTCTTGAGTGGAAGAGAAACCAAAGATGGTCTTCAAGAGGATTAATCTGCGGCCAACAACAAAGTAGATGAAAGATGGTCACCCCTCAGAATGAGTGGCAACCTCTACACTGGATATGATTTGCCCATTTACAGAAGCAAAAGGAAAAAATCAGATATATTACTCACTTACTCATGGAGAAAAGACAAGCTCCAGGCACAAAATGTGAGGCAGAGCCCAGCACCCAGGAGCCTGTGACAGCTTGTTTCTGGGGTGTTTCATAAAAGAAATAGGAAAAAAGGAAGCCAAGCTAGACAGCAAGTGGTAGCAAGTTTTTCAAAGAGCATCAACCACACAGGGAAGAGCAATAACACAGCAAGCTGCATGTGTCCCTGGATGAACACAGGACAAGGGAGCAGGTCTTGGACACAATGTCAGATGAAGAGACACACACCACTACTCTGTGATGAGTAAGGGAACTTGCAAATCATGATTTCTTTATCTTAAGAGCAATGGACTTCAGCATCATAATCATCATAATAAAAAAAAATCTGAAAACTTTCAGAAAATGTGAAATCAGCAGCTGGCCCAAAAAGAACCTTTGAAGCCCAAGGAAATGAAGGCAAGTAGGAGGAGTACCGCCAGTCCACATGGGCTGCACTAGCAGCAGGGCAGCAGTGGCACAGCCCTGAGAGCAGTACACACCCACCAGCAGGGAGCTCCAGGGCACCAGCGCCAGGGCAGGCCTGGGCTCGAGCCAAGTACCACCAGCACTGGTGACAGAATCCCTTCCCAGGTGACAGCATTTCCAACAAAGTGTTTCAGCTGATCCAGACACATTCCCCCAAAGACCTCAGTATTCAAAGAAAGCAAAGGCCAGAACTATCCTCCAAGAATTTAAGGGAATGGCAAAACCAAACTACATATACTTGTAAAACAAATTCCTACAAACTGCTAATATGAGAACTAATGAGAGCATCTAGCTGAGAAAATGTCTCTGCAGGAAGGGAGGGAAGGAAATGGGTAAGGCCTGGTGGGGACCTGGACATGGCAGGGTAACGGTGGGCATGGATCAACAGTGATTAATTCTAAAAACATAATGTATGGGTATGGTTGTATGAAACACAATGTGAACGAAGGAATGCATGAAATAAACAAAAAAACCCCTTTTTTGTTTAAATTGTGTCTCTAAGAATATCGAAGGCATACAGATATAGAGATATACAGATATATGTGCAAAAACACAACTATATATTATATGCTCTGAGTTAAGTACAAACTTTGATGTCATTAGCCCTCAAGCTGGCAATTCTATAAACCAAGGAACAAAATACCACCCAGTCCTGTACTCTCTTTATAATCATCAGGTGCATCTGAGCCCACTGCGGTAGCCCCCATGTCAATCATCTCACAAAAGGTTTCCCTCCCCGCTGCTGACCCTCCTCTTACTAGCTGCACTGGGCTTTTTAAAAATGACAGGCCTCTCCTGATCACTCTGGAAAAAAAAGAAAGAAAAAAGGAAAGTGTTAACGATTCGAATCTGTGTCCCAGCAGCACCATTTACCAGTTTTGGCTCTTACTAAGTCCACCCTGTCATGTGGGCTCATTTTCCTTACCTGTGAACCAGGCTGCCCTGTAGAATCCCACCCTAGACAAGCCATGGGCTCAAACAAGGATTTCTGCTTTACTGTTTCTAGCAACAACAACGTTGACAAGGCTGCTGCAAAAATGAAATGCTAATTGAATATATACTACTCGCTGCCTCAAATCAAACTCAGCAAAACTATTATTACTCTACTGCTCTTGCCATATGCATTAAAAAGACCAGAAATAGTCATCTCTATCATTTAAATATTCTTCACACTTGAGGCTGACCCTCCAGTGGGTTTTCAGTGTATGTAAATCACAAAGGAGGAGATGCTCACCTTCTCCCAAGGAGTTCCTGGAGAACTGTCAGAGGCGTGGCATCTGGTCAGCATCACAACTCCCTCCTGACCGTGCCCACGGAGCTCCCTAATACTTGGGAAGAAAAGGTGCCAGGAAGCCTAATTAGCAGCTCTGGTGGCCTTGTGGTAAGAATCTGCAATGGAATCTCGAAGGCACACAGTTCGAATCTATCATATGCTCCAT